TTCCCTGCGACCTAATTTACATATTCACGTTCTTGCAGGTTCTGCTTAATGATAAGCGATAACGAGAACTATGAACTCCTTGAAAAGCCGTGGGCAATGGATGCTACTTTTAAATTTCCGCCTTCGACCAAACGTAATATGAAATTTCAATTTTCATGTGATAAAATTCATCAAAACTCATAACCTTATCAAGTAGATATTTTTATAAATTTAAGAGCTCTGTTACATTAACGCTCCCATACTCTCTTTTCGTTTACACTTGCGACAGAGTTGCCTTGGCTTTAGATCAGCTACCTCGAACTCATATGCACATTGTACGAGCTTTTACAAACGAGCTTTGAGCTTTTTCACCGAAAGCATTCACACCGACAGTACAAAAGCTATCTTTGCACAGCGAAAAAAATATAAAAAATACAATCAATGTTTAGCTGGGGAGCCAGCAGATTGTGCGCAGTGCAGGGATTGTTTTTTGTTTAGTCCAGCTACGTGCACCCATTTTTACATTTCTTTCATTTCAAAGTACACAGAGCATAATTTTTCTATTTTTTATTTAGGTACTTTTTAATTTATTTAAAAATTTTATGATATTTTGGAAGTTTATTTCTGCATGATAAGTTTTTATTCGAAGGAGATCAGAAATATGCTCATCAGATAGATTATGACGGTATTCATTGAATTCCCTATTAATATTCTTAATTTTTAATTTTCTTCCAAAATGATTGACGATTGAAACCAGTTCACTGATATGCTTGTTTTTCCCATGAAGAAGCAAATTGAGCTCATTGAAAGGCTGGTTAAATCGCATAAAAAAGCCAATTCAAGACTAAAATCTATCCCCCTTATTCTAGAGCCCGAATTTTCGTTGTGTTGTAAAAACACTCATCATGTGTTTGTTTATTGTAAAATTGGTTAATTTTACATATTTTGAGGAAAATTATGGGTTCTGATGCATCTGCAATTATAGCAGCAGAGTAAGAGGGCGCTATGGCAATGGATTCACAAAGGTATGCGGAGCTGTCGGGCATAGTAACCATGGGCGCATCTATGTCAGCTTCTGGTTGAATTGTTGAACCACAAGCCAGAACTCCTCCTATGCCTGAAGCCCTGGTTCTCAATCCAGTTAATGCAATAACAGCACCTTCCAAGCCATTGAAAACATGCACTTTGTTAGGTCCACCACCTGTTGCGCTTGCTTCTGCCTTCGGCCACGCTTAGGAATTATAACCCTTACTAAGTAGAATTCTCCTCTCTGTGTTGCGGGAAGAGGGGCTTCCGCATATCAAAGGTATATAACATTTCTTGTGCATATCACTCCGGCTACGCCGTTCATAGCATTTTTGCGCAGAACCCACATCGAAATTTGCAAAAAAGTGCATAGTGCAAACCGAGTTTATTAATAAGCTAGTGGTAGGAAATTTGAAACATTTATCTTAAATAAAATGTGAATCCTTCGATTACACGTGTATGTTAAAGTTTTTGATTCGGGTTATGCGTTTGAACCCAACAACCGAAAATCGTTGTACAAATAACTAAACAGGACCCAAGTTTCTCAATAAGGGGCAACAAAGATTTTGTTTTGCTCGTTTATATAAAACAGTGGATAAAAATATACGTATATGCGAAAGGCAAATTTATCTGTTTAAATGAACACCACCAATATTTCTTGTAAACACACATCGATTTACATCTTTTATTTCGCCTCCGACACAGAATGGTTTTCGTACAAAATTACGCAAAAAAGCTTACTCGTTCGTTTTTAGGCATGCCATTGTTACGAATTTCGAAAGTTCGAAAATGCGATTCGGATTGCAGCATACTATTTCTACGATTCGTAGCAAAATCCGAATACGAAAGAGTTGCAGAATAGGGGTGTATATTTTTTATAGTGGCAATGAGTTCCTCATTAGCTGGGGTAGAATCAATTAAAAAAATCCTTAAATTTAAAAATATTTCAAACATTTACCGCGACTTAATAATTTTTTTTCTTTTAAAGACGAAGCATTAGAGAAATGTTATTTTTCTTTGCACTCCTATTATTTAGTGGACAACTAGATGCAAGAATTTATGTAAAAGAATTATAAATATGTATAAGCATATTTGGTGGAATTGTTTATAGGGAAAACCAAATTATTGAACCTCACAACCCCCCTCTCTCCCGAAAAAAATTCTGCGTTCACCACTGTTTAACCCTCTAGTAAGCAGAACCGCCTCCAGACGGTTGTTAACGAAACACCTTTTTATTTAGTGCACCTAAAATAATTTTTTTCTATATTCGTAAGGCACGATCTTTAGACAAAAATCGTACCCTTACGGCGAAGTAAATTTGAATCCGTTATGTCAATCCATTTTATTTTAATCGGCAGTTGAATTACAGATTTTGAAAACACGGTTAAATTTAATTATTTCTTGCTTTTTAATAATTTCGTAATTAAAGAAATTTTTTCTTTTGAAAATTTTTTTGATACAAAAAAATTCAGTGGGTTTCGTAGTTAAAAACACAGTATTTTGAAATAAGTTTTATAATTGAGTGACTATCCGAAATGTAGAAAATTGCTTTCGAACACTGACCGTCTACAGACCGGCTTGCCGACATATAAAAACCCAGTTTGCATTTTTGACCATCTGCAGACGGCATTGCCGGTTCGTAGGTCAACACTGTGTAAGAGAAAGCTGAAAATATGTGTAAGTATATCGGCGAGCCCGTCTCCAGACGGTCTTGGTTTTTATCCCCTATGTATGTACATTCGGCTGGTCTAAAAATGCATGTGGAAATGTAAAGTCGAATTTTAATGCTCTTACTACCTAGTTCAAAATCGAAAAAATATACTCCTGTTTTTTTATTTATTTCGAAATCAAAAAATATTTAGAGGTCGCTCAAAGCGTTCAAAGTTTTCCATGTATTTTATATGAAAAAAAAAAAGAATTTTTCTTGAAAATGGTAATGAATTTCTCTGTTTCTCTTTAGGAGACTTCCAATAATAATACCCAATTATTTATTTTAAAATTTTTTAATAATAGCGATTTTTTATAGGTCCCCCAGTACATTTTTTGGGGTTTTTGGTGACCTATAAAAAGTAGTAGAAAAGTTTTCCTATCGATTTTCAAGAATTATATACCATTTCTACGCCCATATGACAGGAATTCCAAGGTCATCAGCGTCTGCAAACTTTGGCAGATCATATCTCAGAAGAAAAAAAAAAGAAAAAAAATCTCGAATACGTGTAGCTTATTTCTTGTATAGAAACCCATAAAAAAAATTTGAAGCGAATGGGACACATACATAATTTTTTTTGAAATCCGTCCGACTTAAAAAAGAATGGCTCTTAATGCAAACATGTAGTCCTTTTTCTACGTACACTACAAATTATATATCATTTGAAAGCTTAGAAAATAAACTATAGAAATAAACCATTTGCAAAAAATTAAAAAGGGAATATTGTTAAAAAATGCAAAAATTTTTTTATTGGACATTTTTTGCAAAAAGAAATTTGAGCATACAAATATAGGTTCCATTAAAAAGCACGAAAAAAGTTCTAATAGGTCAGAATTTGTTTATCCACATTTATAAGTGTGACGTGATGTAAGAATTTTAAGGAAACTTATGATGCTACTATAACTCGTCAAAAACCGCGGTAGAAAGAAATCCTTTTGCATATTTACTAGTTACCATAGCAACAACGAGGTAGAGTTTGAATGAAATCCCTAAACAAAATTTTTTCGTGGTACACTTCGTTAATTCCACCACCCTAATGTGCAGATTTTGTATGAAACCAAAGCATTCAATACCGAAGTTATTTATTTATTGCCTCCATTCTAATGATTCTATTATTCAATTGAGTGGCTAATCAACTTAAGCCAATTAAAATTTGTTTTTATGCGTTTATAACGTTTGAACAGTGAAATTCAGGTCTGAGATTCACAAATTAATTTTTTCAAATTATTTATACAAATCTAAAAAATCTGCAACAAAAAATTCTAAAACGAAAATTTAAAGCCACTTGATGAAACTTGCACTAGAATTGAGTGAGTGACGAAACTGCACACTCAAAATCTTTCTAGAAAATCTAATGAAAAGGTCGCAATTTTTGCGAAGGTTTTTTTTTTTTTTTAATATTGCACAAAGTTTGGTACTTGGATTTATACGGTTTTCGTTAAAGAATGAACTATATATTTATAAAAAATAACTAAAATTAAATAAAAAAAAAAACATTGTGTAAACATGGCAAAATTACATATATACATTTTTTATTCTTTATTTGTTATATTATATTTATAAAAGTTTGGTTTGGTTTATGAATACATAATGATAAAATAAACAGAGAGACCAGATGAGTAGTCCACTTGCAAACAGCGTTATGTGATTTTATAATAGAAAGCCATAAATTTGAAAAAAAACTACTACGACAAAAAGTAGCATTTAAATTGAATCTTTTTTATTATGACCTGAAAATTTGGATAAATAAGAGCCTTATAAAATTGTAACATAACATAACATGACATAAGATATTATTAACAGTCTATACGACCTAAAGCAGTTTTCTAAGTTCATCAGAAGATGTATAGTTTTGAAAGTTTATAAATAAGTGTTATAGCGACTTTTGGAAGAAGAGGTAACATTTGATGCTATTTTTTTCAGAATAAAAAAAGATTTTGCACTGTGTTGTTAGTGGACATGAAACTACTTTAAATACTGGTACGTAATCCACCAAAAACTAAAAATCGAAAAAATTTTACATAGCGCACTTTGCAAGTGGACTACTCAGATATATATCAAAATAGATACAATTTCTTTTGCATAGATATCTGCCCTATGGGTGGGGAATTTTGCGAAATTTCGGGCAAAATCGTGGAATTCTCAAAAAGGAGTAGGCTACCCTTGTTCCAATATATGTGCATAGAGCAGCTACCGCAAAAGCAAGATAATCAAGTCAAATACAACAAAAAATTAAATAACGCATGCGTTAAGAGCAACAATTTTCAATTATTATTGTGCTTTCTTCTCACTGATAAAAAAAAATCGAACACAATGAGTCACTCACTGGTCCGGAGAACCACATCAAAAAACCCAATATTATTTCAGTAACAACAACAAAGAATACAAAGCTGAATCACATAAAGCCCATCAAGCAACTGGCAAAGCGCTGAATGGACAGTTTTGTTGCTGGTGCCGGTGGAGAGAGTCACCTTCAGCGCAGTACAAGTGGGCGATCAACGGTAATTTCTACCAAATTTTGTAAGTAAATAAATGCAGTTATTAGCGTTAAGATGCACTTGCACATTGGCTGAATAGCAACAGCAACGATCCACCTCCTCTGGCGCGCACTATTAAAGGTGTCCGCTGAGGTGATTTCGTCACTGTCTGTCGATGGCCCTAGCCTAGAGAGTGTGGTGCCGCTAGAAAAAGAGATTCGATGCTGCATTTAATGCGGTGTTAAAGTGTTTTCGTTTACCGAGTGCAAAGATACACATAATTTAATTTAAAAAATATATAAACATAAGTTATATTTTTAAATGGAAAAAAATTAAACTGTGATAAAATTTGTGTGTTATTAGCAAAAGAAAAAAACTGATCTCGCGTGTATACGTCTCTTTTTTAAATTTACGTGTTTGTCAAAATGTTTAATAAATGTTTGGGGCTAAAGGCCCTATTTTTCATTTTCACTTTTGGTTTGTTTTTGCAACGAGCGCAAATGTTTGCAAATGCGGCGGTAACGCCAACAACTGCGTCGCCGAGCAGCGATATAGGCAGCGAGAAGTTAAAAATACCATCAACTGCAATGGACATGGAGGCACCTGCAAAGGAAACGAGCGCCGAGATGACGGAGATAATGAATGATGATGGGGCCAAAGGTACGAAAATTGAAAGCCAGACAGACACTGCGACTATGGTGATGACTGAAATGAAAATGAGCAACAAGGAGAATGACTGGTGGCAGCATATGGTACTCTATCAGATCTATCCACGCTCGTTTATGGATACCAATGGCGATGGTGTAGGCGATTTGCAAGGTGAGTAGAGGGGGAGGGGGAATGCATTTTTCACTGTGCGAGATTGCGTGATTTTAATTTTCTTTTCCTTGCAGGCATTATAATGAAACTACCGCATCTCGCTGAGACTGGCATTCACGCTGTTTGGTTGAGTCCGATTTTCAAGTCACCTATGGTGGATTTTGGCTACGACATAACTGATTTCAAAGACATTCACACGGAATACGGTACAATGCAAGACGTCGATAAGCTGATAACGGAATCGAACCGCTTAGGTAACCGTTAAACCATGATCCCGTTAGATTTCGAGCGGGTTTATGTGCTGATTTGTTGTAAATATATATTTGCAGGAATTAAAATAATCATGGATTTTGTGCCGAATCACACGTCAAATCAGAGTGAATGGTTTGAGAAGTCGATTAACCGCGAAGATGGCTTCGAGGA